CTAGCTGCAACCCACAAGTAAATCAATTTCACAACCCGATAAGGATTCACAATTCAATTTGAAAAAGACCGTATGAGACATTTCTTTCCAGAGGATTTCTCTTTTCTGGATGAAAAGGGCACTCGAGTTTATGGAGGCTCTGAACGAGGCACTGCCCTGGTTTTGGAGTTACACCCATTTCACAGAGAAAGGAAGTTCAAGTGCAGACAGGCTGAGTATCTTGCCCACGAAATCAGCCATAATGAGAGCATTCACACCATGGAAATTGGTAAATGCTACAAATTAGGGTGCCTTTTTTTGGTTTTGTTTTTTTGCCTCTTTGGAAAGCCAGCTCGTACACATTTACCAGCCCACCACCGAGTCTAACCTGGCTCTCTCTGGTTCCAAAGTTGGTGTGTTTTGAAACCCTCTGACTTCAGCTTCCTCATCTATAAAATAACATTTAAAATGCCTACTTCATAGAAAAAATATGTGTTCATTGAGTACATTCTGGTAAGTAAGAGGGACAGTGACTGGAAAGAAACAAAATGCAAATAATTGATTGCTACTGTGATGGGATTTGAAAGATGAATTCCCCAAATTTCACCATCTTGTATGAATGATTTCCATCATTGCTAAATATAGTTTGTGCAAAAAAAAAAAAAAAAAACCACCCAAAAAAGTTAAACATGAAAACCCACATTTGGCAAAACTGTTGTGAGAATTAGAAGGAATGAAGTTAAACCTGTAGCCCAGTGCTCCACAAATGGTAAGATTTGAAAAGAGTGAATTCACCTTTTGGGGGGGGGGGTTAGGGGTAGGAGTTGGGGGAATGGCAAAGGAAGTATTGCAAATGAATCACAGTTCAAAGCAGGACCTTCTAGCAAGGTGAATGGAGAAAAGGCAGTATTCTGAGGAATATTCCGATTCATAGACTATACTGATGAAACTATCACACATGAATTCAAAATTCTAGAATAAGGGCTTTACACAAATGTATCCAATCCCAGTGCAGTGGTGCCCCCTCCATCTGACAGATACCGCTGCCTGGTGACATCCAGAAACTTAGCCTTAGGAAGGCGTGGGCCCCAGCTGCTGGAAAGTGGACCCCTTGGCTGCCTGGGACCCCCTCCCGTTCATTCCACCCAGCTCTCTGAAGCCACACAGGAAAAGTCTATGTTATCATCATTGTTTTTATAGCTCTGACAACAATGGCTGTATTCATTTCCTATTAGGTCTGTAACAAATTACCATAAAATTGGTGACTTAACACGAATTTATGATCTTACTGTTCTTGCAGTCAGAAGTTTGAAATGGGTGTCACTTGGCTAAAATCAAGGTGTTTCTGGGAGCTTTAGGGAAAATCATTTCCTTGCTTTTTTAGGCTTCTTGGGGTACCTGAATTCCTTGGCCAGTAACCCCTTCCTCCATCTTCAAAGCCAGCAGCATTTCATCTTCAAATTTCTCTCTGACTCTGACACTCTTCTGACTCCCCATTTCATTGTAAAGAAATTGTGAATAGATTGGGCTCACCTGGGTAACTTGGGCTCTCCCCAAATCAAAGTCAGCTGATTAGCAACCTTAATTCCACCTGCAACCTTAATTTCCACTTGCCATGTAACATAACGTACAGGTTCCTGAGATTAGGACATGTACATCTTTGGGAGTGGGGGCATTATTCTGCCTACCATTATTCTGGCTAATGCTTCTTGAGCACTTACTATGTGCCTGGTACAGTTCTAAGCATGTTCCTTGTAATAATGCATTTAAACTTCACCACAATTCTATGAGATGGATACCCATTTTACAGATGAGGAAAGTGAGGCACAGAAAACAAAAGTAACTTTCCTAGGTAACTTGCATATAGCTAGTAAGAGGTTGGACTGAGCTACAGATCCAAGAGTATGATCTCAGAGCCCATTCTCTTAGCCACAACCTCCCTTCAGTAATTGGAGGACAGATGAACAAACTAAATTCTACCTCATTTAATTCTTCCTTGATGACCCAGAAGCCCCTTCAGGATATGATAGTGCCTCAGGTCCATCAATACTGACTGCCATTTGTCATGAGTGAGGTAATTTTGAATGGACTGACCAGTAGACTTTCAGGGGCTGGGATGCCTGATGAGCTGCTTCCTTCCTCAGTGGGCTTCCCACGATGGTGATTCTCTGTGACATCTGACCACAGTTACTCCTTTCGCTGCACTCCAGCCATGCCAGCTTCACAGACAGTCCTCAAAAAAGTCAAGTCCATTTCTACTGCAGAGCCTTTGCACTGGGTGTCATCCCTGCCTAAAATATTTCCCCAATAGATACAAAGCTCAGCCATCACTTCAAATAGGTCTCTGTCCCAGGACTACCTCTGTAGGATAGGAGCCAGGTATCAAGCCCATCTTGATGGGAGATTTTTCCCACTTTCCTACCCAATGTTTTGGTGGCAGAAGGCATTAAAGCTCCTTTCTTCTCCCTGTTTTCTGCCCTCCAAACACCCACAGTGATGAACAAAAGGGACAGACTAAGGGAGTTGTGTTTCCAGGTAGGGAGGTGTCTTCATCTTGAAGTTTCCCTTGACTCTGCTGTGCACAAATGTCCCAGAGCAAGAAACAGGACGAGAAGGCAGGAGCTAGTTCCTCAGACACCAGGTCTTTAAGGGAAAGAGAGAAAAAACCCTGACTTGTGGAGCACTTACTGAATGTTCAATCTTCACACCCCTGTACAGGAGGTACTAGTTTTAGCTTTGTTTTATAAAGAACACTGAGAAATCTGGACATTAAGAAACTGGCTCCAAATGACACACAGAGGGGCAGAGCAGGACTTGAATCCATATCCGCCAAAATCATACAACAAAGTTCACCTGTGGCCACCCAATGCTCCTCTTTTAGGGAGAGAGTAAACAACCTGGGGTGCAATAGGGACAGTATTGAAGCAACTGGCCAACCATGAAAAGGGAATTTATTTCTAAATGCATAATCATTCTACTTAGAAAATTACATAAAAATTACAATGGGAGACAAAAGTGAAGACTCATGTTTCCACCCCCAGGGACTATTTGCAGTGAATGTCCAATTGTTTCCGCACCATTTGTTGAAAAGACTATCCTTTCTCCACCTTGACACCTCTGTCAAAATCAATTGACCATATATGTGTGCATTTATTTTCGGACTCTCTGTTCTGTTCCATGGATCTATTGCCTATCTAGATGCCAATACTATACTGATCACTGTAGCTTTGTAATAATGAAATTGAGTCCTTTTTTCTTTTTCAAATTGTTCTTTTTAAAAAATTGTTTTGGCTATTCTAGGTTATTTACATTTCCATATGGATTTCAGAATGAGATTGTAAATTTCTACACAAAACACTTGCTGGGATTTTGAGTGTTGAATCTACAGATCAATTTGGAGAAAATGACATCTTAACATTGTGTTTTCAGATCCATGAACATGGTATACCTCTCTGTTTATGTAGGTCTTATTTAATTCATTCCAGCAGTGTTCTGTAATTTTCATAGAAGAGGTTTTGCATATCTTTTGTCAGATTTATCACTAAATAGTTTGTATTTTTCAATGCTAATGTAAGTGGTATTTTAAATTTCAACTTCCAATTTTTATTTCTACTATATAGATATACAGTCAATTTTTGTATACTGACCTTGGATCCTGCAACTATGCCTAACTCACATGTTAGTTCTAGTTTTTTTGGTTTTTTTTTGGTAGATTTCATGGGATTTTCTGCATAGATGTTATCTGGAAATAAAGACAGTTTTATGAGGAGCTATATTCAAGGAAGCTGTGTTCTAATAAACTCCATTCTTGGGCTGTTGGAGGAAAATAGAGGGATAATTCTAAATGAAGATGGTGGAGGCCTGCAAGTTATCCTCAGGGAAGCAGATCCACAGATCTAATGGTTTTACTTAGGTTAAAAGGGGTTGATATTCTAGTAATACTGGGACACTGTCAGCACAGATCATTTGATTATCTATACTCATGATGGTGATGAGCCCAGATACGGGCTGAGCAAAGGCAAAAATATCCAGCCTTGGGTTAGAAAAATGTCCAAAAGACCCTTCCACAAAGCACCACCTTCTCTCACTCTGACCTCCATGAAGCTTCCTTCCTGGTCTCTGGGCCTTCTATTGTGTCCCCTCCAGTCCCATTTCCAGGTGTATAAAAATATAAATTGTACCTTTCTAGGCTCCGCACTTAGAATAAAATCTTCACCCAGGCCTAAGCTGCCCTCCTTACACTATGTCCTCCTCCCCGACCCCACTAGCCAAGCTTATTCCAAGCCTTCTCTCTGCCAGACACGCTCTCTCGATGCACCTCACCCCTTCTCCTGCCCCTTGCCACTTCTTCAGACGCCCTTCCTGACCCTCCCAACTGATCTCTCAGAGTGCCCTATCCTCGCTGCCTGGTACTCACCATACTTATCATTGACATTTACACTGACGCAGGGCCGTGAGGACCCGGGCCACTGCTCTTTTGTTTACTGCAACCTCTTAACATGCCTGATAAGTGGTAGGCACTCAGATGGTCTGAGGAGGGCTAGAGCTTTCTTCAGGTACATACACACCCTTCCACGCACCCCTAGTTCTTGTGACCAGCCTTACAATATATCTTGGGTATTTCTCTTCTGTCAGAATGGTGGTTTTAAACCATGCCTGTGTGTTAGAATCTCCCTAGATGATTCTAAAAAATACAAATGCTTCAACCTCACCCCAGCCTACTGAAAGCCAAGTCTTGGGGTAGAAGACCAAGTATTTGTACATTTTTAAAAAAGATTTCTTGGTGACTCTGATGCACAGCCAGAGTCGAGACCACTGGCATAGAAAACAGGCTGTTTTCATTCAGTCAAGTGATTAAAAAAGTGGTGGGTGGGCTCACCCCAAAAAGGCCAGCGAGTAAGATATGTAAGGAACCTCACACGGGGCTCCCCCAACCCAGCCTCCTATGAGACCGCATCCGGTTTCCCTTGTACTCTCTCAGTTCCAATGGAACAGGAAGAAAGAAGGAAGCCAGACCAGAGTGGAAAGCATTTTCAAACTTTATTTACAACTGTCACAGTGACAAAAAGTAGTTTGAAAAAAAAAATGCTAGTTTCTCCCTGAGCCTCAAAAAAGAACAGATAGAAGTTATAGGAGGTTCATCTTACAACAGGCATTTTTACTGAAATACTAGGTGTTTTTTTCCCCAATACAATCAGTTAGAAATACACACAAGATACTTAAAAAAAAAAAAAGAGGCCAGACAGGAGCTCAGCCACTTGTCCGAGAGCGACTGGGTCCCCCCAACAGGCTCGCCGCTGAGGGTCCTGACACACTGCCAGCCTCCGGCCTGCTCAGACTCCAGATGGTTGTACAAAGGGGTCCAGCGACCAGCAAAAACAATAAACCACCCCCATAAACACACATATACACAAAGTAGATCTGTTATGCAGATTACAAGCACGTTGCCATCACACGGACAGATGATACAGGGGAGCACAGGAGAGGCGGACATGGAAACACAGGATTCTGAAAGGCAAAACCCCATCCACTAGGAGGCACGGGATGAGAAGTGCTGCTATGAGGGAATGAGAGTCAGAGGGAAGGCTCTCTGCAGCCAAAACAGAAGAAAAGGGGGAGCAAGAGAGAGAAACGCCCACAGTGCAGGCTGCCGGCCTCTCCCACTTCCTCGAGGAGCTGGAAGAAGTTATTGCCATCGGTGTGTATAACACAAGCAGACAACACAGAGGAAGGGGCAGGGAGGAAGGGAGAGTGTCGGCTGCCCAGAACCGAATCCTGCTGATGTATCGACAGCACACCCTGGTCCTCCTGCCCAACATCCCCCAGAGCCACACTAACCTTGAGGTATTAAATGCAACCTTTATGTAAGTCCAAAACCAGGTCGACTGGACTGACTGGACACCTGAGGGGACACATGGGTGCCTCAATTGGCAGAGTTCAGCCCCAGGGAGGCTCTCGAGGCCCCCTCTTGGTGGCCCAGTCTGCTCTGACAGAGATGCTTTGAAGAGTTTGTCCTGCATCCTGCTGCTCCTGGTGGCTCTGAACTGTGATGAGAAGCTCTAAGTCCAAGGCTTCCTTTCTCATGTAATTGTGCCCTTGCAAGGGACAGGTGGGAGGTGGGGAGTGATGAGGAGCACCGTCCAGTGCTCCCTCACCATGCTGTCCTCCCACCTGTACCCAGGAACCTTTGGGGAGAAGCCAGGGGTCTCATGACACCTTTTAGTTTCAAACTCAATCCCCAGGCGGCTGTGTGAGAGCCTCCTCACCCCCATCCAATAATCCCCAGGCTGCGCCAGCTCCGGGCCCGCACTAAAGCTGACCTCCCTAACAAGAAACAGAAAAAGCCTCCTCTGCTCTCCACTCAGCTCCCACCAGAAAAACAGGCCAAGCGTCCACATGGGCGTGGGGACTGCCGCTGACCAGGCTGGCTGGAACCCACTGCAGGGCTGGGGAGGGCTGTGTGAGGAGAAGGAAGGGCCAGCCTGGCAGAGCCCACCGGCCCTGTGCCTCTGCTCAGACTGAGACCCAGTGTGGAGGGAGCAGCTGGGAGGACCTTTGTGTCCAAGTGTCCACGTGGGTCATCCAACAGGGCAGGAAGTACTGTCACTGCTCCCAAAGAGCTGGGGGGCAAAAAGGATAAGTCAGGGGAGAGAAGCCGAAAAGCGATGCCTCTTAAAACAACAAACAAACACTCCAGATGACTGCAGGTCTGTGAACCTGCCACAGCCAGGACAGAGGGAGAAGGAACAGGACACCTTTTCCTCTCCGAGCTGCACCTCCAGGGGCTTTGCAGGCAGCGGGTTACACTGCTCCCGGGCACCTCCTCCCCTGCAGCAGACAACACACCGGAGTAAAAGCAAAGGCTGGCGGTGGGCGAAGTGCAGAGATGCGCTGCCCTCCGCCTGCAGCAGACCGAGGAGGGCTTCCCGCTGCTGCTCTGCGCAATGTTTTCTCTAAAACGTCTGTTTTCTCCTCCGTCCCGCGTTTGTTTTCTTAGCCCCAATGTTCCTTGCTGGCTGTGCACGTCCCCATCCCCCACCCCCGGAGCCCGCTGGAATCCCACCACCGCCTCTAGCTGCTTGAGTTCCGATAATGATCTCAAAGACCAAAGCTTCCCCACACCCCAGCCCCGCTCGGAGCAGCTTCCTTTCTCAGAAGGCCTTGCAAGTGTCGCAGAGGGCTCCACCGCTCCGCAGTTCAAAAACAGAAAAGGAAAGGAAAGAAGACCGATCAGTGATTCGCAGGTGCAAAACAGAAGCCATCGCCCGGCCTTTCAGAGGCTGTGGCTCACTCTCTTCTTCCATCGCGATGGGAAAGAACACAGTTCAGGTACAGATGCTGTTGGTGTGACCCGGTGGGAGTCGGTGGGGCCTCTACTGCTCCTTGTTCTCTTTCGCTGTCTCTTCACAGTTGTCCTGCTCATCCTCCTGGACCAAGAACTCCTCGGGGGGCCACCGCAGCTCCCCGCTCTCCACCTCCCCCTCCGTGGGCTCCACCACTATGGAAGGCAGGCGGTCCTTCAGTTTGCAGCAGCGGTCAAAGTCGGCCGGGTCCGGGAAGATCTGAAATACAGCAAAGCCAGCACCGGGTCACAGACAGATCTAGAAAGAGCAATTCCATTCCTTCCGTTCGCATCCCGGTGCAGGACTGAGCCACGCTGTACGCCACAGACTGTGCTAGGCCTGGGGTCCTGGGGGCGTCTGGTGTACGGCAGGAGCCAGGAAGCAATTCTGGGCCAACATGGAAACCACCCCTTAGCTTGAAGCTGAAAGTTTTCAGGGCAGCATCACCACGTCTAAAAGGTGGGCTAGCTCTGTTTGCACTTTTTGTTTAAATCTCTGAAAAAAGAATTCAAAATCATGTCATCCCCAGTAAGTCACATCTCTGTTTATCGCAAGCATTTTACTCTGGCAGTGCAAAGTATATGACAGGTCCCATACAGTAGCTCTGTTGGTTAGAGCGTCACCCCGACATGCCAAGTTTGTGGGTTCAGTCCTGGGTCAGGGCACATACAAGAATCAACCAATGAATGCATAAATGAGTGGAACAACACATTGATGTTTCTCTCTTTCCCTCTCTCGTCTTCTCTCTCTTTTCTTCTCTCTCTCAAATCAATAAAAAGATTTTTTAAAAAGTTCTTCCCAGGATTAATATTGATACCTAGTATGAACCAGCTACCAGGTGCTTTACATGTATACTTTTGAACTAGCATAGTCATACTGAAAAATAAGTGGTGCTGATACTATCTTAAAGAGTCTCGGGTTTGAAAAAGGAGTTTGCCCAAACCATGCAGCCTGGAAATGGGGGATGGAAGGAGATTCAGACCCAGGTCTGTCTGACCCCCACTCCTATGCCTATGCCCCAATACCACCCTCGCTCCTCCCTGACCTCGGTGCATCTGTAAAGTCAAGGCCAAATAAGGGTTGAGGGTGTGACCCCCCCAGTCACAGGCAAGCTGGGAACAAAAGCTCAGGCTCCTTTTTCATCTGTGAACAATTTCTGACTCCCTGACTGCTCTACACCTGAAAGAATTTACTTCTCTCTCCCGAGTCCCATCAACTTGGCCTTTTAAAAAAATGCCTACTGTGTGTCCTGCCTAGAGTTGAGAGAAACCCCAAACCAGGCTAGAAAACCAAGGGCCTCTGTGTCTTCCCTTCGCACACCCTGCCCTGTGACTACAGCTGACCCAATTCTTTGCCCAGCAGCTTAAACATGTAATCCGATGGGCTGCTGGTCCCTTGCCATTCACAGACCTTGGTGAAGAGAGCCGGAGGGGGGAGCCTCTGCCTGGGATGCTGGGGATCACAGAATCACATGGCACCTTCAAGGCCATCTCCTCCAAACTCTCTATGTAGATGAAAATAGATGAGGAAACTGAGGCCAGAGGGGTCAGGAGACTTGCTTGAGGTCACACAGATTGTTAATTGCAAAAGAAAGGAAGGTAAATCCAGGAATGGGTAGAGACACACATTTGAAGAGGTCTTGGGGATTGCCCATACCTGGCTCAGATCCAGACAAGCCCATGTTCCCCAGAGGCAGAAGTGCTCTCCTGCAATCTCAGGTCTCCCCAACTTCCATGGTGCTATGAGGGTGCCCCATCTTACTGCACCCTAACCCCAAGCAGTGCTGTCCCAGTCAAGTCACTGGCCATGTCACAGGTCACGTGGAGCTGCTGGGAGTCATGGGTCTCTATGAAACCTCCCAATCCCTGCAGACAAGTGATTATTAACCATTTATCCAATAAAGCCCTATTGCTGGGGATTAAGCCTTAAGCCAGCTGCACAACCAGGCATCATTAAAGACTTAACAAGCCTTATAAAAAGTACCCTAATGGCAGCCAGGAGGAAAATAAGGCAGAGGAGGGCTAGGGGGGTGGGGCTGACAGAAAGCATGGGGCAGGTTGACCCCACTGCGGGCTTTCTCTTCCGGATGTGACCTGCAGTTCTGCACACAGATCCACTCGTGCTGAGCTGGGAGGAGGTCAAGTGGCCTCTTCGGGCCCCTCCTCCCTTCTCCTCATGTGGAGCTAGAGCCCCTCCCTGAGTGACGACACAGGTGCCTTTCCAAGGGCGCAAACAAGGGGAGCCCCAAGAAGTGCAAAGCTAGCCAGTCTACAAAGCCCTTCAGACATCCTCTCCTTTGGGCCTCTCCACCCCCAGGAGCAGTGAGACCCTGGGGCTCTGAAGGTCACGTGGAAGAGCCAGGATTCAAACCCAGGTCTATTTTCAATGCCTGTACCTTTTGAAAAAAATGAATGGATGCCATTGGATGAACACACCCATTTTACAGATAGAAAACTGACCAGAGAGAATGGGCAAGACCCTGGGTTTTAACTGCTCCTTCAGCAGCTGGAGGCTCCAAGTTGACCCTCTGGACAGCCAGGTCCATAAGTTGAGTTTCCTAGTCCAGACAGTTGTTCTAAATCTTCAGGACCTGAGATACAGCTGTGAAATATCAAGAGCAGATGGACACCGGGTCCAGGGCAGACTCGGCCCCCTGCCTCTACCCCCGGACCCAAGCCCAGGGCTGTGCCTGCGCTGTGACTCCCCAGATGAGAGAGATGGCAACCAGACTCTGGCTATGGTCGCCCAAGCTGAGAAGAGAGAAAGAGCCTAGAAGCAGCAAGGCCAGCAGCAGGAGGAGAACAATAAGGGTCGAGAGCGAGGACTTTTAAGCTGGGAATAGGTCTTTAACAAAAATTGGCAGGGAGGCGGGGAGGAACGTTAAAATAATAATAATGATGGAAGATATGCCGGGCATATTTGTTGATCAGAATTTCTATCTTCACAACAGTCCTATGAAGTATGTAGTGGTGTGATCCCTACTTTATAGATGAGGAAACTGAAGTACAGAGAGGGCAAGTGACGTCCCCAAGGCTAGGAAGTGGCTGATCTGGGACCCAACCTCAGACCTAAAGGACTTCAAGTAAGGCTTTCATTTGATAACACCCTTGTGTCAAGCCACAGACCCCGATTCTCATTCTGTCCTTGACATCACTTGTATAACCCGAACCAAGTCCTCTCAATCACCTGTTCCTCAGTTTCTCCTTTTGCAAAGCAAAGTGACTTTCTTATTTCACCAGATGGAAACAAGTTCTTGGCAAATACAAACATAATGCTTTGAGGACATACGCTAAATTCACATCTGAATGTCCTTTCTGGAGCAGCTGCAACAGGACCAGTTAAGTGTTCAGTCAGCAAACAACAGGCAACCGTACTAACACAGCCATTCAGACCACTGCAGACAACGCCTCTCCCACCAGGAGCCGCGCAAGTCAGTCTCCGAAGTCCTCGGGGGAAGTCTGAACAGTGAACTTCTGATACTGCTTAGTGGCCAGAGAGAACTCTGCTCCCTGAATTGGTCAGAGCAGGCGCCATCAAAAAAAAAAAAAATTAATTTTACAAAGCCTGTTAATTACATTTTTTAAAATCACTATCATAATCTAACCCTTCAGAGATTTATAATAATCGGAGATTTTATTATCAGATAATACCAACGTCTGCCTCTGAAAACTGTGGCCTCTGCAGACAAACAAAGGCGCACAGACAGCACGCCCTGCAGAGGTCTGCGAGCACCCTGCCAGCACCATCTTATCTACGGCAGCTGCTTGAGAGGCTGACCCTACGGAGGTCAAGATTTTTCCACTAAGTCATGCTTTTTAATCATCCAGGCAGCAGAAAAATGAGAGGTTGCAACTGCTATTTGACAGGGTGGGGAAGGCAGTGGAAAAAAGGACTCAAGTCCGTCTTGCCAAGCACATGACAGGTAGGGTTGAGGCCGTGGGCCCGCCCGGTATGCGGTGTGCCCGCAGGAACTGGCAGGGAATGCGAACTGCCCCTGTTCCAAAAAGAAAGTGCTTCTGGTTAAACCTCTTACCCTTCTCTCTGGACAAAGAAAAACACCCCCCCCCCCAAAAAAAAATCCTTTCTCTTCATTCTGCAGCAAAGGCTCATATCCAAGAGGTCCAGAAAGGACAGTGGGGAGGCTCTGAGAGGCATTTTGCACCCTCACCCCCACGACAGGACAGATCTAGAAGAATCATCCCCAGCTGTGACTCTGGGCTCTCCTCCCTTGGCCAGCACTGGACCACAGCTGTCACACTTGGCTGTCAGGGCTGAGGGCTTGGATAAAACCAGTAGACCCCATGTTCCCTCTTTTGCAAAGGAAGTGATGTTTTGAAGATCGCACACATCGAGAATATCCTAGGCCCCAGGTGTAGAAATAGCAGGCAGGCAAGCTTGCTAATGGTGCATTTCATAGGAGACGTGTCATCAGGGCCATCCTTCGCCAAGTGACCTCTAAGGCCAACAGGCCCTGACGTTTTGGGAACTCTACTGGGTTCACTCGAAGAATCAAGGGAACTTGAGGACCTTCTCAGAGGAAGAAACAGCTTGTGAGATGTGGCTTGGATGCTAACAGACCAGAATTCCTGGCTGCAGAGATGGGAACTGTCTGAGGAACCTTCTGCGATAGTGGGAATGCCCCCATCAGCAGCCGCTAACCACATGTGGCTCCTGAGCACTTGAAACAAGCCTAAAAATATTTTAAATTGTCTTTTATTTTTATTAATAATAATGTATATGATGTATTTAAATATAAATATAAATAGCTACCTGTGGCTACCACATTGGACAGCACAAACATGCATGTGTCCAAATGAAGACAGTAAAAGCAGGACTGTCCAGGAAAACTCAGGATGTTGGGCTGATGGACCAACACAGAGCCCCGGAGCAGGGAAGCCTGGGGTGGAGGGTGAGCCCTGGCCATGCGGAATCAGTCGGCAGGCTTTCTGCTTGAGGAGAAAAGTTGTCAGTCAGCTCCCATTTCAGCCACGGCAGGGACTGAAAGGCAATACCGGGGTTCCAAAGGCCTGAAATTTGGGGGCCTAGCTATCAACTGTCTGCCTCTAAGCCAGGTGACCTAACCTGGCTGTCTCTGGGGCAGGGCGAGGAGAGAGATGCCTGGCACCTCGGATGGAAAATGTGAGTGATTCCGGTTGGACCAGCCTTCCCCTGTGTGCATGCGCGCATCCGCAGCCGTCATCCCGGACAAACAACCCGAG